CCTGCATGTATTACACACGTGCATATAGACAGCCTACGCTAGAAAGGGAAATGAAGCTACTTGTGCAACTAACTACATTAACCCACTGCTTAGTTAGACCTGACTATACAGCGGTATATATACATTCATTCAATTTGTGCGTGATATCCGTTCATCAAAATGTTTCCTACGTAACGAATATTACTAAAATTAGCTTTAATCATTTAGCTTAAAACTAGCTTTTGCTTTATTACCTAGATATCCACACACAAACTCTACGAACTACCACTAGGTTTATTACAAACACGCATAGACGACTGTAATTCCACACAATAAATTCCTGTTCAGCATCATAATACGTCGTTTTTTGACAGGGATGCAGCTGCATTTCACTGGAGCCACTACCATTGATAACCCATGAGCAGTCTCCCAACCACCTACATTGATATGACCAGGGGTGATTATTGACATAAAATTGTCAACAAAAATTATATTGAAATGAATTGTCATTTGAATAATGGACCAAATGAATTGGTGATTATTCACCCCCTGATATCACACTTTTATACGCTTCAGATAAATATATTTGCGAATTGTAGAATTGCTCCGAGAAACGCTGCGAGCGCATGAGGTTCCGTGGCGACACAGTTGCGCTTAATTTTGTGTATAATAACAAGCCATAATCTTTATAAATTTGAGGTTTCATCACTCACTTCACAGAGCTTGTTTGCACATTCTCAATAAATATACGCAATCGAGTTAGATATATGCGCCCCTATAGCTACGATACAGGCCGTGAAAAAGATGTTCGGTGCTCAGCCGAAGTGGTCCTTCCCAGTATTGCAATGACACAGATACTTCGAGCGTTCTGTTCCTTCTGATCCACTTCACAGAGATCTTGAAAATAATCCTTGCTCTAGTCAATATGCGCTACATTATTCCCTACTCTAAAATGACATGTTACTGCGTTTCTTGATATTAACTTAAAAATAAAATGCGAGATAACGCAATCTGAAAGTCTACTCAAGGGATCAGAAAACACATTTATTGCGCCACGGCAGGATATTGCGTAACCAAATCTCTACAACCACTTGAATGGATTCAAAATGTATTGCGTTGAAGCACAATGCACTCGATACGCGTGTATATGCATGAAATCTCATTAGCGAATGCTACTCTTTTAAGCAAAATATGCGCAGATTCTACGATGAAAGCAACTTCTCACGTTGGCCCTTCCCCAAACACAGCATTTAGCATATTTTCATGCGTACTGCACAAACCGTCTTTTGATGAAGATATTCTCCCTCTACTCTGCTATTCTTGCGATTTTTTCCACGAGTTTTCTTCGCGAGAGAGCCTCCATGGGTAGAGCCGGAAAAGTTGTGATTCATAAGCTTTAACGCCAAACCTCTATTTGAAGGAACCCACTCCCTTCTCCCATTAAATAATCCAGTTTTTTTTTTAATTTCGCTGTCTGCATATCCGTGGATGGCATTAAGCGTCTATACGCGTGGAATTATTACACTATAGACCATTGCGAGCGCGTGGTCTATAGCGTGAACTGCGGATATTCTGTGATGAAGATCACATAGTCTAATGGGGTCACGGTCGGCGATGGCGCATACTCTCACTCATACACAATGTTTGAAGTTGCAGATGATGCAGTAGTAATGATGGTCATCTCGATTACTCATCGCCTATATCAATTATTTGCGACCGTGTCAGCTAGATCAGATTCACACACACACGCACTGTCACTCGCGATGCGCTGTTTCCGTAGATATCTTATGAATCGTCACATCGTTGCGTGTGTGCGAATCTTTACGCATTTTGTGATCAACTCGGGCTGGACACTCAGAGGCACAGACACTGTTCACAGCAGTGATATGAGAGAATCAGCTGTAATAATACTCGTTACTCGCGAACTTGCTACAATTCAATCAATCAATCAATCAATCAATCAATCAATCAATCAATGTACGTACCTCTGGCTAGGCGTGCAGTACATTCGTGTTCCGACGACTCGCTTATGCAGCGTGATGGCATTGTGCATGATAGTTAGCACCAAACCAGGATCTACAGGGAATATCCAGACAGACAGACAGATCAGTCACACATACGCAAACAGAGTATTGGGCGCAGAATCACATGCTGGAGTGTAAACTATTACTGCTATACAATTACCTTCGGTGAGAGAGAGAGATGCATGGATAGATAGATAGATGGATGGATGGACGGACGGACGGACAGACGGACAGACAAACGGAGGGACGGACGGACGGACAGACAGACAGACAGATGGATAGATAGAAAGATAGATCAATAGACAGCTAGATAGATAGAGAGGGAGAGAGGGGGAGAGGGAGAAGGGGCGGGATAGGAAGAGAGCGAGAGTTAGAAGGGGAAGAGGGAAAGGGCGGGGGAGAGAGCAGGTGAGAGAAAGAAAGAAAAAAAAGAGAGAGAGAGAGAAAGAGATAGCGAGAGAGAGGGAGAGAGACGAATGGGAAATGAAGGACAACGCAGAGACGTTTAAATTGACTACGCCAAGAATAAATGTATCCTCAAATTCTTACCTGAGAAGAATTGTTTCTCAACTAGTTAAAAACCCCCCAAAAACCTGGGCGATTTGATATATTTGTCACGACATTAAATGCTTGCTATGGGCTATGTATGAGTCTCCAGTGTTTGCACTACAGGAATAGCAAAATAGGAAGTATAATGCGGCAATTTAACCATAAAAACTAAACAGAATCACTTACATTTTGTGAAAAAGTAGACATAATTTTTTTTTACTTTAACTATTTACGGTGACGTCATCACTTTAAGTAGTTGTACCTATGTCTGAGATGATCTCAAATGGAGAGAGGACATCGGACAATGTAGAGGGATCAATCGAGTGCTTGGGAACATCCTCCTTCACAGGGCTTCGTTCTTTCTCCTTGCGCTTGAAGCTGCTTCTCAGGTTGCGGTTGCCAGTGCTGGGGCTCGGTCCTCGCCACCACTTTGAACTCGATCCTGAAAGCGTTTATACGTAGAAGTAAGAACTATAAATAGTAGACTACACGGTCGTAGACTGCTATTCCTAAATATATAATCCTAATAGATACTAAATAGATAAATGAGTAAATCATAATATACAAAATAGATCGTAGACTACTCATCCAATCCAGGCACGTTCGTTTTGAATCTATTGTATAAATCGTCGATATGCAAATATGCGTGATAGTAAAATCACGATGATCCACGTCAAATGACCAAGTCTTTGAGGAGCCAAGCTATGAAAACTAATTATGCAGACCATGTTTGAGGTGCCGTATACAATTTCCACACATTTTCTAAAATGCGAACGACGTAAAGCAGTGTTCGGAATTCGTGGGAAAACCTTGCCGGACAACAGGGCCGGCAACT